CATCACAATCTTCGATTTCCCCTTAACATATAGGCATTTCGAAATCAATCTCTGGGTCAGTATCATCAGCATTTATATTATTGATATCTGAGTTCCTGAAAGAATAATGAAAGAGAAGATATATATACATTTGGGATAATCTTTTCCCATATAAATAAATAGAAAGAAATAATACATACAAATATATACCAAAGAATGAAAAATGTATGGGAGAATGTTTGTCATTTGAATTAATAAGAATGCATCTTTTATTGAAAGTAAGCAAAAAGAAATAGCTTAACCCTTTACATAAAATCACATATTGCCCCAGGGTATGAAAAATAGGGAAATATTATAGTGCATTACTCTGTAAAAGATATGTAAACTACAGGCAGTTAAACAGCAGTCCAATTGTTCAACACGAAACCCGATGGTGCAGGATAAATTCTTGTAGCTCATTCTTCTTCAAATTCATCATATGTGATTGCATTAATGCCTAGATCTCCCAAGACATTCTCAACCATCATTTCCTTATTTCGTAAATCCCCTTGGAATATATGTCCTCCTGATACGAAAGTGCTACCCAACGATGGGAAGGTCATGGTTCCCAGCTAAGGTCTTCGCCAACTAATCTTGCATTTCTCATTTCCTGGCTCTCTTTGGCATCCCTCAACTTTTCTCTTAAAGTTGGATGACCCCAAACCAAACCTATCTCTTTTAGTAATAGGGTAGATTGGATTCACCAATCCTTGCAATTGACTTCCTAGCCCTTTTCTAACTTTTACCCCTCTTCTGAGGGTCAATTTAAGTCCCATTTTGGTACAGTTTGACAATCTAGGCTTTGTTATCTTCTTCCCTTCGGCCACTAATATGGCATTGACAAACTCTAGTGATCTGAAAGAATATTCAACAACTTGCTCTTCCACTTCAACATACGAAGTAGTAGTAGAAACCGAAGCAATAATGTCCTCTTCAGCGTGAATACATACCAACCTTCCATCAATTATAAATTTAAGCCTTTGGTGTAATGTTGATGGAACTACACCGGCCTGATGAATCCAAGGCCTTCCCAACAAAAAGTTGTATGTGGGCATAATGTCCATCACTAGAAACTCCACTTCATAAGTTGCTGGACCAATACTGATAGGAGTATCAATCTTGCCTAACACTTCTCTTTTAGTCCCATCGAAAGCTTAAACCACACTCTAACAATTCCTCATAAGTGTACTATCCATTGGCAACTTCTTCAAAGTCACCAAGTGCATTACATTTAAACCAACCATTGTCAACCAATACTTTGGATAGAGTGTGCCCTTTGCACCTAACTATGATGTGCAGAGCCTTATGACTTCCAATCATCCCACAAGGGATCTCATCTTCAGAAAAAGATAGAAATTTATCAGCCTGTATGTTGGCAACTAGTCGGTCCATTTTTTCTATGAGTAACTCCTTAGGAACAAAGGTCTGGTTCAAAATTTTTAATAAAGTGTTTCTATGGGCCTCTAAACTCAGAAGAAGTGATAAGATATAGATACGGGAAGGCAACTTGTGTGGTTGTTCAATGATATTGTACTCACTGTGTTTTAGGAATTTTAAGAATTCCACTGCCTCGTTCTCAGTTATAGTTTCATTAATTACAGGCTCATGTTCTTTTATCTGCAGCTCCCCCTTCTTCCCTTTATCAACAATAACCTTCTTCTCGTGCTCTTTAGAATAATATATGTCACTTCTAGTAAAGTGTCTCACCTCATCTATTTCCTCATTTTCATTCACATTCTCTCCCATCTGACAATCATACCTCCATGGAACTTATTTATTATCTCTATATGAGAAAAGAGATGGAGGTATAATAACCACCTTTGGTGCTACCCTTTCTAACACCCGAGTCTTCGGAGTAATGATAGGGGAAAACTAGCATTGTAAACCCCTTTAGATGATCCTTCTGAAGCTCAAATTTCTACTTCATCTTCTTCAACAGTCTCTTTGAAAAACTCAATTTCTTTGTTATCCATCATTTCTTGAACTAGAGATAGGAAATCAAGACACTGTTGAATATTGTGTCCTTCACAGTTATGATAATGGCATACCTCTTCACTGTTAAATATTTCAGATGACGGATTGGGCCTCGACAGTCCTACCTTAATCATTTGGCACCACACCCAATACATAGGCGATTACACCTCACTAACCTTTCTGATAATTCTTCTTTCTTTCTCTTTAGTAACTGTGTTAATCTCTACCCCTACATAGTTTGACAATGGATTTTGGACTATATTCGACTGTTCGTTGTCACCAAAATTGATGATATTCCTTGTTCTCAAAGCAGTGCAATTTTTTATAGAATTTCCAGGATTCTAGGCATGGTACTCATATTAAACACTAGAATCGTACCATTTGAGATAAGGAGGTTGTATTGGTGCCACATGATACGGTGAAACTACATGTCGATCATATAATATCTAAAATAATTCCTTATAAGTTATCAAGATAGGGTTGAATTGAGGCCTCTCTCTCCTCTGGTCCCTTGCCCCTTGTCTATTTTCATTTTGGGTTGATGACCCTATTCCCTGAGGTTGAGACACGATGATATTATTAGAATCATATTGTCCCACATTGCTAACTTTATTTTCCTTTTTCCTCATTAGTGGTCTCTTATTAGACTCCCATCCCTCGAGCTTTCAACTTTTAACTTCCATTTCAATCATTTCTCCAGCCATAACCATGTCAGTAAAACTTTGTTAAGGATTACCTATAAGGTGTGTGAAAAATAGAGCCTTTAAGGTATTAAAGAAAAGTATATTTGTTTCCTCCTCTTCTAGTGTAGGATGGACTTGTACTGCTATGTCCCTCTATCTTTGAGCGTATTATCTAAAACTCTCGTTAGACCTCTTTTCCATACCTTGCAACAACATTCTGTTAGGACTAACATCTTTCACATGTTTATACTGCTCTATAAAGGATTTAACCAAATATTTTCATGACCTAATATTAGCTCTACTCAGTTGATTATACCATCAGATTACTGAACCCGTCAAGCTTTCTTGGAAGCAATATATCAATAACTGATCATCCCCTACATATCCAATTATCTTCCTACAAAACATCGTAATATGAGCATAAGGACACCTGGTACCATCAAATTTCTCAAAGTCAGGAATCTTGAACTTTAGAGGCAAGACAAAATCAGGAACTACACTTAATTCTTTAGCATCGAGTCCATACACACTGTTATCTTCTTTCATAGCTCTGACTTCGCTTTCTAACTATTTCCATTTTTCCTCCAATTGCTTATTTTGGTCTTACTTAGCTTCTTCATCAAGGTCTAGAACCTGGTGATATGGATGTTCTTCAGGTTGTGAACTAGATCCAGGATAGAGATTCATAGAGGCACCGACTGGGTTGATGTGTACTTTCCCAGTATGAACAGGCGTTTCTTGAACATTCTGAGATTGCGCTTGGGTGAACCCTGGGGGTAAAGTGGTCACTTAGTTATAGTTCCAGGCACAGGGCTTTTTCCATATTCATTATTCCTTCCTTCCAATAGACTTGCAAACTTATCAAACATTTTCTTCTGAGCGTTCAACATGTTTTCTTGCATCTTCCTTATATTCTCTTACAACTCTAGTTGGGTTTTCTCAATTTGAGCGATTTTATCATCCATAGCTTTCTTCTGGTGCTATAAGGATGCTTGGAAGTTTCCAGTATTCTGTAGTGTACCCTTTATTGTTAATTTTGACGTTTTGAAAATGAATGCAAACTATGCGGGAATAAAACGTTGAACAAATAGTCATAAAAGTGCGAATAAAATGCAGAACAAAAAACTTAAATTGTAAATAAAATGAAAATGTATGTAGAAAGGCATTGATTCATAAAACGTTATCAGTCTTAGAACAACTTTCATTTAGGACAAAAACATTGTCATTACAAGAAAAATCCATTACAGAAAAGGCCTAGCTCTAGTGCTCAGCTCCATTATCTCATTAACAAGCCAATTGACCCTTTTTCCCAAATCTGATGTTATATTTGTATAGCTCTGGATGACCCTTGATTGGATGTCCATCTCTCACAACTGTCTTGTAATACTGCTTAATTGATTCATGGTTTCCATGATTACATGATTCATATTTGTCTTCCAGTCTTCAAAACGATCACTCGAATTTTGCCATTGCTACCTGGTATTTCGGACCGTGTACTCAAGACCATTGATTTGTATATGCCAGCTTCACAACGCATCCTCTGAATCATGAACCTTTCTTTGCAAAATAGCATTTTCTTTGAGGTTAACCCTTAAATCTGTCGCCAAGCGCTTACTATTCTCTGTAAGCAAGAAATTTTTGAGCTACAGAATGTAGGTGTTATACTCTTCATTCTTTGCCTGAGCCTGAGCTAACACTTCATCATGTCTTGATTCTATGTCTTGCATCTCTTGATTGAAGACCTCTATTCGTTCGTTCTTTGTTCCACATCTTTGCATCCAAAGGAACACTTCATCTTGCTTGCCTTGGAGCACACAATCTCGATGTTTTCTTTCTAATTTCAATCCTTCACTGCCTCACCTCTTTTCAGCTTCGAGCTCGTCTATTCTTTGTCCTCTCATCTCAAGTTCACTTAGCATGCTATTCATCTCTATTTTGAACCCTTTAAACATATTACATTTCTTAATTTCTAATTTTTCTATTCTTCATTTTCCCTGATTGATCTTGTTTAATCTACTTTGATTTTCAACTTTAAGCTCCTCAATATTAGCTTGCAACCCTTGATTTCAAAAGTGAGCTCCTCTTCTCACTTCTTGCTCAAGGTGTACCTCTGTCTTAATTCTTTAGTTTCTTTTCTTTCACTACTCAGTGCACTAGCCCAGGGCTTTTTCTCTATCTCGAGTTCTTGATCTTTTTTCTTCTTCTCTGCCTCTACTTCTCTAACTTGGCGTTCTCTTTCAGCTCTGACGTCCTTAACTCGACGATCATTTTATCCTTGAGCTCCAACTTCCTCTGCTCTGGAGTTTTTCCTAGTCCAACAATTTCTCAGGCCCGATTCATTTTCCGGCAATCTTTCTGGAAGTCCGTGAAATCGACCTCAACATTATCTTTTCTCTTTCGCATGAGCTCAAATTGTTTCCTATAGAATCCACTATCGAGGTCTAACATGAAATTCTCTTTCCAAAGAGCTTCACACTCTGCCTCCTTTCTGGCATTTTCGGTTTCGTACTCACTCTTCAGTATTTCAAACTCAAATGGAACGTATCTGAACTGCGCTTCTACAGGAATAACTTGATCATGATCCGCTAAGGGAATGACATCATTTTTCCTTACAGCTCTCCATACCACATAATCTGGTGTTAACATGACCTTAGCTGCTACCACATCAGCTCGAAAGGTTGACTTCCATGCATCTAACATTAAACGAGTGATTTTCTTGTAGTGATCTATGTGGTACACAAATTCGGATTTACTCAGACCTGAGGTGGCTGGGACAAATTGGCGCGCCCCAAATTGCCTTAACACCATTAGTGGAGCATAACATACTCCGCCCCATAATCCTAACAGATTTACCCAATTGGACTCCCCACATTTGTACAATATTTTGACAAAAGCTAACCAGGGGATTTGCCACACTATATCATGATCTTGTAAATTCCTCAAAAGTGAAACCCAATATTTTCTTGTTAAATGCTCATGCCATTCTTTGGTGATGAAATATTCTAAGGGTGAATAGGTAGTTGATAATCGACGATTGTATTCTCGATCAATCTTCCAGAAGTGGCTACGCATCCATACAGTAAGCAACTGGACACACCCAGCGAAGCGGCTACTCTCTGGTCTTTTGCAAGTTTTAAGTGACCTAAATGTTTTTGCCAAGATTTCAGGAACATGATTCACTTTCCTTTCCAAACGCTCAAATAAATCAACTACAACGGATTCTACATGACAAATAACTTTTAGGAAAATTACTAAGCCATAAATTCCTAAAGCGAACATTTCCATACTCTTCTCAATATCACTATGTTTGACAATAAGTTCTTTAAGACACGACCAAAGGAAACAATCAGACTCTCCTTTCTTTTGGATTCTGTCAGCTGCCCATTTCTCACCCATTCCGGTAATCTTCGCAAGCTTACTTCTGAAGAGTTGTACTATTTTGAGTATATTCTATCTAAGTTTATCATTTCGAAAAGAAACATGGAGGTGCACTCTTCCAACATGGGAGTCATGTCCTCCTTGTTGAAAGTGAAACAACTATACGTTGGATTCCAAAACTGGATCAGAGCTTTGATCAAGGGTTTATTTACTTTCACATACAACAAAAGGGCTATGTCACCATACTTTTTCCAGAAAGCATACTTCGGATCAGATTTCTAACTCTCCCAGATTTCACGTAGCTCTTGCAGATCATTTTGCTTCAGACTGACTGGAGTGACCTCTGGTAGTGCTGATATATAGTATTCAATCATACTATCACCCTTCTTTCTCTGAGTTTCTTCAGACCGTGACCTCACTTTTGCATTCTTTATTTTATTGTTATGAAAACTCTTGTCCATTTTATGATCGCCTTCTACTTTGATGACCACTTCGTGAACCAACGTTTTTCTTTATAAATGATCATGTAATGCAACAATAATAAACATAAACAAGAACAAAAATAAAATTACGTTGGTATATACAATGAATAATCTAATAAAATAAAATAATAAAAAAAGTATATCATAAACCTTACCCAAATGTAATCTACCCAACATTTTACCCTCATGCCTTTGTTGGGCAACTAAATCCTAACCACAATTTTTCTAGTTCACAGAAATATAAAACTTAACCGCATACTATTCTAGTTCTCATACTTCTTGCAAAAATAAATAAATAAATTCGATGAAAAGGTTAGAATGCATTTCCCCTTTGTAACCGCGGACAAAGATTCAGTATAAGATGGCAAAGTTTTGGTATCACTAACAGGGTCCTCAAATTGTCATTTGTTAGTGCCCCTTGGGCTTGTCAGACCCTCGATCCTCGCCCATTATAGGCTTAAAAAGAATTGAGTTCAATTCGAGAGGATACATTTCCCCATGTTCATGCGAGGAAACTCAATGTTTCACTAGTAAACATGAGGCATATGTACCCCAGAGGTTACTTGCAAAAGCCCATTTGGAGAAAAATAATTTTGCTCACGTAAGCGTAGCGTTCACCTCTACCTAACAGGATAGAGCACAATTAGAAGGCTCTAAATATAGAAAGGTTATAGCGATAGCATGGGAAACTCGTAATCCTTTGCCTCGATCCAAAAAACAACAGACTAAAGTAAAGGTCAGAAGGCTGAAACATGTAAATCACACATTAGTACAATTATTTCTTAATTAATCAAATTACAAATTAAAATACAAACACAATTTAAAACACACAAGGGATCAAAAACCAAATTAGAACAAACTTATAACTTTCATTTGCAAAGACAATTAATTAATCGACTATCGGCCTGACTCTCTAAAAAACTCCCCAACAGAGTCACCAAGCTGTCGAAATGATTTTTTTCCTTAAAAAGTGAGACTTTAAAACCCACATATTTTTATTTTATTTCTTTATGTAACTAAAAGTAATGTGATTTAAAAAAACCTCTCGTTTCGAAAAAATTTGGGATTCCTTTTAAAAACGTATGGTTCGAGGAGTCACTACCAATTTTTGATTAGGGTGTGATTGGGCACCAAAAAATGTTTTGTCATTTTAAATAAATTTTAATTAAAACGAAAAGTTGAGGTCTGCATTACCAAAAATTGAGTTTGGGAGTCGGTTACGCGTGGGGAATGATTAGCACCCCACAACGTCCTAAATCAATACCTAATCGATTAATTAATGTATTTGCAATGAAATTTACAAATTTGAAATTTAATTTGATTTTTGATCCCGTAAAATAACAAAAATGTGAATTTTAAGATAATATTCAAAAGCACCCAATATAGATTAAATTAAAATTACCAAGTCTTATTAGAAAGATAAAAAAATATTCAATTATTTAAAAATATCGAGACCAGATTTTAGATAAGTTCTAACAATCTTTTTCTCGAAAAATTTAGATAAATGAATATTTTTTTCTTTCACTCCCAAATTTTAATGTGCGAACCATTTTTTTAAGTGTCAATAATCGGATACACTTTTAATTTAAAATCATCGAAAACAACATCTCTAGTGAGTTAAGACAAGCCATTCAAACAATTTTAAATTAAACGGGTATTACTATTAATCAAATTATGTAATTAGGTCAAGACATACACGTAAGGATATCATATAAATTGTACAAAATTGATGCATGAATGAATTCATGTGATTCTTAAATTAATTATTTGCATGCTCATACATAGTAAACATATCAACATTTAAAGCACATATGTACCACTAATTAAAGACACCATACTTCTACCTATTTGCAATATCGCCTTATGTCGATTTATACTTGCATCAATATTATCCGGAACAAGAATACATAAAAATGTATAAGATTTATTTGGTATTAGAGTTTCATCTTATGAAATCATCAAACAAACTAAAATCTAAATAAATAAAAAAATAAAACGTCTACGTTTAATAATTACAAATTAAGCTATATGAGAAATCGAGTAATTATTAAAGAATAAAAAAATTCAATTACACCTTTAACAATCTAATAACGAAATAGATATTTAAAACCAATTTATATCATTGCAAAGTATATGGGTGACACGAAGATTAACCACCTAAGAAGATGAATAAGCAGCATAATCAATAGCACTTATCTTCTTGCTGGTTCAACAGATCCACGTGAGTCAAGTATTAATCAACTCAAAACTAACAAATATCACACGTAGACAGCTGTTTCACCAACTAACCTTCAAGTTTTCGCTCAGGCTTTGATTATTTGATCCAAGAACGAAGCGGAGAGTCTTAATCCGTCGAAGTCGGGAGACTAAATGCAGAATCGAACAAAGGGAGATCGAAGGGAAAAACCCTAAAACTTGATGTAAAGCGAAAGCCAAGATGTGGAGAGAGAGCTGCTGCTGAGGTAGCATTTTTTTTCTTTTTTGATCCTCCCCTCCCAAACAAATATTTCTCTCTGTTTTATATGACTCTAGGGTTTTTTCTTTTGCCTTTTTGTCATTTCCTTAATTGTTTTTCCTTAATTATCTGCTCTTTTCCTTATTAAGAGATTTGAAAATATCTCATAAAAAAGATATTATTTTCCTTATTAGATTGATTTGGATCTAATGTACTTTAGGAAATAATTATAATAATTTTTTTCAAAAGATTATTATTCTTGCCATAAAGCTCATATTCTATTGAAATAAAGCTCATCGATCGATATATGGAAACATCATCAGCATGTGACTGGTCGTGGGGATTGTAAATCGGCTGAAGGGTGTAATGGGCTCGAATGAAATTCCGGACAAAATGAGCTTCTACACCCTTATTGGCTAAAATACTTTCTTCAACTAGAACAAACACACCTAATTACAACAAGAGATCCTTAATGCCTAATCCTCCTTCAAACTTTGACAAACAAACTCAATTCTAACTCACTTTTGCACTTGAAGTTGAGGTATCATGTCCTTTCCAGAAAAAACGAGAATATAGTGGGTCGATCCTTCTTACCATGCCCGTAGGAAGCACACGTTGCTTGTATCAAAAATTCACTATACCAAATAACACCGAATGAATCAACTGGAGTCTTTCCGCAAATGCTTAAACTATATTTTGACCAATAAAACAATAATCTATAATCAAAGATTATTATATAATTTTTAATAGTCAAATTATTCAATAAAATTTAAAAAAAAATTAAAGGGATATTTCTAATTTTAGAGTTTAGGCATGATATAAAATGGGTATTGAATCTTAGATTTGGTATTGGTCAAAATTGTAACCAAGGAAATAAGGCAGAAGAAGGTGATATTAGTCGGGCTCGGCAGTATGTAAGCGAGGGCAAATTTGTCCATTGCTACGAACCTGTAGGGCATTTCAGTCCAAAATAAGTAGTTGAATTCTATCAAAGAGAGGTTCATATAATCTTAAAAGAAAGAAGGAAAACGAACTTGACCTTGAAAAAAATAGACGCAATTGACTCGGCCGCTAAGAGAGTTCGCTAAGGACAGTGTTCGTCTCGTCAAGAGATGCCTCAAACCCGATCGTAAAGGTTACTCTTTTCTCCTGTTTTTCTTTCCCCCCCCCCCTCCTTTTTGGTATTAGAATTTTGCTGATCCATCAGAAATCTGATTGAAACTTCCATTCTTCTTTCTTATTTCAGAATTTACCAAGGTGGCTTTCCGTATAGCGATCGGATTCGTGGTTATGGGATTCGTTGGGGTTTTTCGTCAAGCTCATTTTCATCCCTAATAACAACATTATTGTTGGATCTAGTTAGGCACGCTTCAGTTTTAAAAATTTCTAGTTGCTTTCGTGGTTTACTGAATTGATTATTAAGGATTTCTTACCCAAGTGATGTTGATCTGATTTTATTCTAATTATTTTAAAATCAAACCGCCGAAAACCCAAAGCTCTAATCTTTTTGAAAACCCGATCGTTGAATGCTCTTGGAAAATGAAATTTGTCTGTAATTTAATTGCAGGGTATTGGGGAAAGCCATGAACTTGAATTTGTTTGATTAGTCGTAGTTATTATCTTCTTGATGAATCCTTGCTTTGCATACCAGAGGTCGTTATTGTACCGAGGTTAAATTGAGACAGTTGGTTAATAGTAAAAGGATTGGGGTTGAGGGAAATGTTTTCCTTGTATAATGATATTATGTTACAAACCTTGCAAGACTAGTATTGAGCATAAACAGTTGTTAGCAGACCTGATATTCCGTGTATGCATGATATGTTTAAACATGTTTTAGAATCCTAATCATGAGTATTATGTGTATTAAGGATTTTTTCTCATGTTTATTACATTGTTTTTGTATTTATTTCTGTTCTTGTCATGTTTCATTATTGCATCCAAAATTTTCACTTCTTGTGATTAAGCTGTAATTTGCTATTATCAATGAACATTAAAATGGTTGAAGCTCACGATTTTAGTTAAAAAGAAAGAAAAGAGGGGACGAAGCATAGGGATGAGCGGTATCTTAGTTCATATTTGCT